CATGATTTAGGGTGCAATTGCCCCTTGTAACTAAAATAAATAAACTGAGTTCGAAAAAAGCTAATCCCGAAAGTAAATTTGTTGGCACGTCCATATCATAAACGAACCTTCGAGGATTTTCTCCGTTTTGTTCCGCGTCGGACGGAACAGTATTTGCATAGAAAAAAATATTTTGAGAAACTCATAAACGAATTTTTAGCTTATAAATGCATCAAATATTTTTATAACTGTCTAATAATAGCCTGACAAGGAATTTGTTCATCACCAGATAATATTTCATTATCGACATTCGATTCAACAAATATTCACCTAAGAAGGTAATCCAGTTTCGAGATCGATGGTCGATGCAATGGCGGATAAAGTATACGATGTTGTCGAATTCTTTTCAAGGAGACACCGAGGAATTCGTTGAAAGAATCAGCGAGACATTGTTCCTCGTCTCGGGAAAGCGTATCCGTGTGCCACACCTTGTCCAACTCCTGCAAATCAGCCCAGTTCGCGCGTATTAACACTATATCTACGATATGATCAAGACAACCTTCTCCCTACAGTAATGCTCTCTTAAATTCCACAATTTCGGATTCCAACAGTGGAATTTAAACAAGCAAGAAGAACAAGAAGAAGCTACTTATTTGTTTCCAGAAATTGACTCAAACACAGTCACTGACAAAGGCAAAGAATCGACATAGTGAGCGGAAGTAGGATAGACACAGTCGGTTGAAAATCGAGGGTCGAAGCGCAACGTTTCAAAACGACGTCGCACGCGTCAAATATAAACATGCAAGAAAATTTCAATTGCAGTAATTTTAATCTTACCTTCTCAAATGTAGTACCGATGAGTTGTTTAAATTGTTCTAATTAAAATGAGCTCAAATACGACGTAAATCGGACTAGTTTTACCGAGTTAATTTAATTAACGATAAAAGCCCAAAGCCGATAAAACTAAACCGATTTACGTCGTGTTTGGATTTATTTTAATCGGAAGAATCTCAATAAACCACTGGCACGACATTGAAAAAAGTAAAACTGAAACTGGTGAAACTGAAATTTTCAACATTGCATAATGTTTGTTTATGTTCGCGGCGCCTTATTGAAGCGTGTGTTTCCCCTCCGCTCATTGTATTTATTTTGTGATCCCTGTTAGAGAGATCACATTACATTCAACTTGAGACAGCGAGTAGTGAGGTAATATTAGGGATGGTGCAGTGAGATTAAGTCGAGCAGATTCCTGTGAAATTTAAGCAAGCATCACTGTATATGGCTGCCTGACACAGGTATAATATTTTGCCAGTTATTGAAGTAGTAAAACAGTGTACATTATAATGTGCCCCAGGTATGAAGGGGTTAAATAATTTTATGTTATTTTTCTCGTATAATACATATTTCGTTCCATAAAAATTTCGGCATCTTGGGCAAAAGATACGAAAATTATCCAGCGTTCAATGTATTAAAAAGATCACAACACGTTAATATCATGATATCAAGCATTAAGAAATTGATTTATTTATGGAAACCTGAAGAAGCCGGTGGAGGATCCGTGGATCGCAGGTCGGCTGCCGCGAGGTTGCTACCCATCTAACTAGTGCTTGCTGCAACTCCGTGACATCACCTTGGACGGCGTGTTGATGAAGAATTGTTAGTGCCGTTTGTGGCAATTCTCCGGTGAAGTCTTCCTGAATTATTCGAAATAATCGGAAAATTAATTGCTTATTTTAAAATGTGCAAGACTCGTGGTGAAGACTCGTTAATAACACTCGAAATTATAGATAATTATAATTAATAAATACGAATGTTGTTCCATTTCTTGCGTTAAAAATTAATTATTACATTTCTATTATTAATTGATATGCTTTAAGTATACCTAGACATATAACAAGTATAGAATTCTTTCCTTTTTCTAATAAATTATTAGCAATGAAGTGGTTCTATCTAAATATAGTTTGTGCTTTTACTCATTGATTTGTCCCATGTTACTTTAAAAATGATTATTATTTTTAAGAAATAAGTATTATATTTTTATTCGCGATTTAGATATATTGTTAAACTATGTTAGTTTAAGTTTTGTTCACTTCTGTGGACAAAACTGGATGTTCTCAGGACATAGTTTATTTAGAAGAAATCCGAATTTTTAGTTACGTTTATTTTTTCATTGAATGTTTAAAAAAAGTGAATATTTTCAAAAATCGTTAATATTTTATTATCTATTGTTTCGTTCTTCATTTTAAAGTAAGAATGCATTATTAGTTAATAATTTTATAGACTATGCATCTTCAGAACATATAATATTCAGTATTAACTTTTTTCAATAATTTTTACCAAATTCATGCTACGACCACTCACATATTAAAATATTCCAGCAAACGATGAATTAATATCGATCTACTCATTTCCATGTTACAGGAACATTTGGGGCTTACACAAAATAGAGTATTAAAAGGCGGCATATTTTTTCCAGGGTTATATCTTCACCCAACATCAATATAATATGTACAATGCATTTTGAAAATTGCAAGAATCGTTGAAAAATGTATTAAACTTCTTGTTTAGAATACTTTTACTTTGCAAAATATATTTAGGACTTTTTTTGTAAATAACATTGCTTGTCGCAAATTATACGTACTCCTTGCTTGTTCATCTCGTGGTTGAGGAACACGGTGTAAAGTCTTTCTTGTTGTCTTAGCTCTCCCCAATTATCTTCTTCAGAGGTTCCCCTGTCCTCTCTCGTCGATAGCCACAGTTTTAATTTAATTCTACCCTGAATAGTGCTCCGTTGCGTTCTAGCTTCCAATTTGTACCATCGATCGAGTCCGGTGCTTGGAATGTCCTGATAACAAACCGCGTATTCTTCACAGTGTGTCATTTCGATATCATAATGTACGAATTACTGTATCAGCTCGATGTTTAATTTCAATACTCAATTTTTTTCCATAATTGCGACTTGTTGATCTGTTTATGATGACATTGATATATTTTGTACCCTACTATCATTATTATTTGTTATCTCCGTCGGCAACACAGAAATATGTCGATAAGGCAATTAGGAAGTCGTAATCACTTACTCGATACAGTTTAGAATTAATAAATAAAGAGTCTACTTATTTTAGCTGTTTAAGTACTGTATGTTTATAATATAAAAATATCACTTACATCGAAAAATTATTTTTCAGAATTTTTTAGTAAAAATCAGCAGTCAATCGTAAATTGTAATTAATACTGAAGGTACTTTACTCCGCATAATGATTAGACTACATTTCTAGTACACACTAATTTATATATACAATTCCTAATATATTCGAATATTTGATAATACTTTAAAAACAGGAACGATAAATATTTCCATGTGTTACTTGAAATATAGAAGACCTCCAAATAGTAGAGTATGGAAATGACAACATTAAATATAATTAGATTTTTGTCGCATATTGAATAATAAATGTAATTCATTTTAGAAATATTTAATTTCTTTCTGGATACAATCTATCAGTAAAATAATCATTCAAAGGATCATGCAAAACATTATTGTAGTATCGTAGTTTTAAGACAGTAGGACAGCGAGTATTCTGTGGGCCATAAAAGAGGAAGGTACTCATGGAGACCAGGCCTAAGAGTTGGTGGGTTTTCCCGAGAGATGCGTAAGCAAGGATGATGAGTGCGTGGTGGTGAGAGTAGGGTGTGTTTGAGAATTTGTTGGAAGTGTGAATAAGAAGAATGCTTATGGGGGACAGAATGATTTTTAAGTGCGGATGGCGAGAGATTTTAGAGAGAGTTGCGTTCACCTGAGAAGAGGTAATACCTGTACACTGCGAGCTACAACGTTTCTATTTATTTGTATATTGTACAGTTATCTATTCCAATGTCTTTTTTCAAATAAAATATATTTAAATTCCAATAATACCACATTATTTTCAAACACCACAAGATTTAACGATTAGAAAAGTCAAAAAATAATGAAAACAAATTATTTCACTCTTTTTAACCCTGCTCTTTCTCTTCGGTTCCAGTTTATGCAAATCGCTTCATTAAAGTCTGCATTTGCATAAATATCCGCAGCCCTCTAGTGAATGTAACGTAATGTTCAGTAAGAACATTATATATTCATAATACATTTTCTATGGTTCAACTGCTCCTTTCAAAATACAAAATTTATAATGCATTATAATAATTATTTTATATTATCGTTTTATCTCTTTTTGTATTCTGCATTTATATCCGTTAATAAAAATCTTTTGCTTGTTTTATATTCTAATCTAATCTAAGTAAATATTAAGTTGCTGCGAAAGTTCTGCCCGTTTCATTGTACCACCCACAAATTTGATTTCTGGAAACACTTTGTGCTTACCTCAAACTATATGTTTTCTACCGCTATTTATGACAGGTTTCCATTTCTGTGGCAGTTGGACTGTTTATTTTTTATACAAATCTCTAGATTTATTATTAAAAAGTAATTGTGTTGGACCTTTTCTTCCACCGAAATTTTAAAAATGTTTTCCATTTAAATCGTTTTGAAAGATTCGGAGAAGATTAAAATCTATTGATGCCAGACCTGAGCAATATGGTGGGCTAAGTTCCCATTTTAGTTCCGATATTTTTTTTGACGTTGTTATAACCACACCTCGCGTTATCGTGGAGATGTCTGAATATTAACCGTACAACGAACCAGACAAATGATCGCTTTTTAAATTTGATTAAAAATTCTACGTTTTCTTTCGTTCACTTAACTTTATATCAATTACTATATTGTCTAATTAATCAGTTTTTCAACGTCTGTCTTCCTTTTTGTCTCTGTTTCCACTAAGAAAAATTTATCATTCATTTATTTACCTTTCTTTTGTAACAGCTATTTGACTAGTTATGATAGAAATCAATATATACACAGCACTGGTACAGTTAGCGCTAAGACACTTGAATTGTAAATTCCAAGTCTAAAAACTAAAGACAGAATATCTTATACCAATCTCCCTTAGTCTCTAATACAGCTGCTTCTGATTTGTTTAAGACGTCCACGGCTAGGAATATTATAAGAAGTGTTCAAAGTTTCCGGGTGTGAGCAGTGTCCATGAAGAATTGTCCGACGTTTCGCTAGCATTGCAGCGGGCATCATCAGGAGGTTTGAGGACTCACTGATACTGGTTAACTGTATTATAAAACATCGCGATACTCTAAAACCCTTAATTATCGTCCAAAATACAAGTATAGCGACTGCACGTTCCCGCGCGATATAATCTTACCGCCCGGATTGTATCAAATAATTATAATTACATAGTATTACGAGGTCTACTAACAATCCCAGCGACTCCCTGATTTCGCATCAGGTTCGTTTACAACAACACTTACTCCAGCAGAAAAGATTCTTCCAACCTAGTGGTTCCCCAATTTCGCATTGGGTTCATCCATGAAAATTATCCCATCCTGCGGCTCGCCAATTTCGCATTGGGTTTGTCCGCATGTTAGAGCTCCCCGATTTCGCATTGGGTTTATCTGTGCTTTATCCAACCTCCCAGCGGCTCTCCAATTTCGCATTGGGTTCGTCCGCGCACCTTACTAACAAACTGACTCCATATTACCAAGATACAAACCTACCACTCGGCTTCTCACGCTGCTCGCGGCTCTGACTCGTAACAATATTAAAGATTCGTGAAAGCGATAAGGGAGGCAAATAGTTCATATACACCAGAAGATGGACAGAACTTAAGCAGCAACGTAATAATACCGGGTAAGAGTGAATAATTTGATGCATCGTAAAAATAGTATTGTGTACCTGAAGAGGAATATTCACGCAGCCGAGAAAATCATCCTGGCCGCCGGATCTCGCGCTCTGCGCGATCTGCTTGAAAAACCGTCCGAGACCCTTGACACCACGTACTTCGTTCAGCTTGCTAACCGCGTCGAATACCGAGGACTCGTCGTCGTGGTCCCTAAAACTATGTCTGTCAGAACAACGGAAACACTTCCGAGCGGAAGATGCACGTACGTGGACGCAGAATAAAAATTCTCGCGGGACAACGATCAAGCGTTCTAAGCTACGAAACAATATACGGCGCGTGTATAGAGAATCGATGTTTGAGCGCATGCAGTCTTGAAATAACTTCGTGAAGCAATAGACAATACTAGAAAAATGTATTCTCACATAATGTCGCATTTAGGTAACATAGATAATGTATCGTCTGCTTAAAAAGAAGTGTTAGGTTTTACTATTAATCTTGTAACTACAGTAATCCCTCGTTTAACGCGGTACTCACACAACGCGATTTACAAATTCTTTTTAATTTACGAATTTATATTAAGCGAATTACCTTTCACCACATAGATGCATGTGTAAATATTGTAGAAAGCCGAGCCGGTTGGCGGGTTTTCGTAATTAAAAATAAAAAAGGTTTCAGAACCTAACCCCTTTTTTGTATATAACGTGGGTCTCATATAACGCGATTCGTTTAACGCGAAGTTTCTGTGGAACCAATTAACCGTGTTAAACGAGGGATTACTGTATTATAAATACTCGGTTCTATATGTATAAAGAGTGAAGTAATTACCAGAAACAATTTTATTTTAAAAATACTTAAAATTCATATCATTTATTTTTATTTATACTTAATACTTATAAGCATTTACTTTTTTATGCAAACGGCCCAATTTTCAGAACGATTTCATTCAATTTGGTGAAGAGGATAAATTACATACTCCTAAAGTAAACTTGTATCTATGTTCTCATGTAGGTGCGTACTGTGTACGTTAATTATTATGTGCATTTATATTCTTATTGAAATTTGTGTCATACATTTTTCCAGTACTGTAATATGCATTATCTAATGTTATAATACACACGTATTCATTAATATATAATTTGTTTCACTGCTTTCAGCGACCTTGTGTACAATAAGAATTGCAAGACCACACTTGGATTTTTAATTGGAAAGAAAGCTGCAGAAAATAATGAAAACTTATTAGAAACTAACTGTTTCAGGTGGCAGAATTTCTACGCATAATTTGAATTGTATTAAGAATTTCTTTTTGTTCTTAAACACACACATATCGAAGTTCTTAGTTTCTGTACAAGCACTAAAACTCTTTTAACTGCTCAACGATAAGGTTCGAACAGTTTTCATTGAAAGTGGAATACCATTTGTACTGGTATAAATAATTAATTCCTACGTTTCACAAGTTCCTCAAAGTGTTCACATGCATTTTTCCTTTTAAAGAATCAAATAAATATAAACTTCAATGCACCATTGTACACAGAAAAATGATGAGCAAATAAAATGGACAGTTTCAAAATGTTCTACGATATACAACGCTCCATTCGACGTTCGAAGAAACGTGTTTTCGTCGAAAGCGAATGATTAATGACATTACTTACCATATATCCAGATGCAGGATGTCTGTACTGATATCGTCGATGTCACTGGAAATGGGAAAAACGGAAATGTTAGGGCTTATCGGCTGTCCGATTCGATTGGACGTAAAGCGTTTCCGACTTCGGATCAATTAGAAGGGAGACAAGCTTTGCTTGGGAACACTTGGCGTTGCTTACAAACGAAACTTCTCGTTCCATCGCGGGCTGAGCGTGTGCGGCTTCACGGTGGTCGCCCGTATAAACTTCGCCGGGACCGCACCGCTTAAGGACTCTCGATGTTCGCGTCTGCTCGTGTGCTCCTTGCGCTTGAACGACAGCCTGAAACTGATTTTGAACAACTACAGTATCTTTCCACGACCTTTCCGTCTCTGGGTACGTTTTCCGAGAATTTGTTGCGACCAGCAATACCAAATGAGTCGGCTTTAAATACTTGCAAATTGGACCGACGCGTCGCGGTCAAAGGACAATTCAACCGAAAAGCATTCGCGATGTTCCAAATAACAAATATCGAATCGAGCTGAATAATCGAGTGAATAATCTTCATTCGGTATTCTCGGGTTGCTTCCTTTCGAAATTCATTTAAGATTGAGTCAATTAGCGTCGTCGATGAATTGGTTTCACCGTGGAACAGATACTTATGTACAGGGTGAATCGCAAGGATTCGATATCTTTGTACTGTGGAGGTCCTACGTTAGTCAAACCGACCATTGGTTCAAAAGTGAAAAGGGGCAAGGGTACTCTTTCATGGTCATTATTGGCGTACGCCGAGCATCGGATCTCGTTACGCATCAAAAATAAACTTTGAAATTCTATAACTGTTTTTCCCATCAAGAAGAAGCTACGTTACCCCACTCCAAAGCCATAAGTATCTATATTACCATAACTCTCCCATATAATGATTGAAGTGTCTAAATTAATAGCTTTCCTATACAAGTAGGATGATACTTTTTTATTTTATTAACAATAGGTTTTCGAAATGCGTCAATTTGATGCACATTGAACTTTATAAACTCTATTTGGTAAATGTTTACGTCAACTTTGATTGATGCAAATACACGAACATGTATGCTAATTGTCTACTTTTAAATTTCCAATTTCCGAAATCTAACTGAACGAACATCAATTTTTCTAGGAGTAGTAAAATAAACCGTACAATAAATGTCCGCAAACCTAATGTTAAAAAGGATTAAATAAACCTTTATATGTCCTTCAGGCATCTATTTGTAAATAAACTTCACAAATTGCATCCTAAAAATATAATAAAACCTATTTGAAACATTTTCTGAAATAACAACTAGTTTGAACGATAGTCGCATCCACAGTTCACAATCTGCCACCCGGTACATTAATTTAAAATGAGTGGAATCTAGAGCAAACGTTACACTCGTGTCGCTGAACGATCACCTTCAAAGGCAGTACACTGTCGTCTAACACTATCGAAACCGTTAATAATGCAATGAGTTGCACCTAACATCCAAAGATTGCAGACTACCGTCTCGATACTCTATTAAGCCTCTACATAAGCGTCCCGTTTAACCGAATTGACACTACTGTCTATGCACACGCGAGTCTAGCGAAAGCTCATCATCGATAGAATAGTTCGCTCACAGGGTCTCTAGTTTCTTGACAGCCAATTTCTCTGCATTCGGCATGGCTGCGAGCCTGAATCGACAGTGGTGGCCCGGAAACGATGAAAACGCAGCAAAGGTCGAATAAGACTATTAACTTTTACAAATAAAAGTTATTTTAATAGTTATCAAACTTCAAACTTTTCCAGAGCAGAACGAATGTGTCTGTGTAACTCGAAACTTTTTCTACTTTTAAGAAAACAGTATAGATAAAATATAATGTGTTTTTGACAATTTAAGCCGTTTTTACAGGACAATATACGTATTATGCATACGATATGCGTATGATGGATAGAATATACATGTAAATAAAAGATTGCAGACGATGAATCTTACATGATACGTATTATGCGTATTATTTCGAGTATTTATTTGTGCCAATGCGGTAGAAAAAAACATTAAATCAACTTATTGACGCGGAAGCACACACTAGGCCTCTTACGTTTGTGCCGATTACCTGCAAACTAAAAGTCCATAGGGGCAAGAGGAAGTGTCTACTCACGGTGCTCAGATTGTATTATTGGCCGAATCGAACAACGAAAAACGTAAGGAAAACAAATGAAACAAAGTGAGGTATAAACAAGATATCGGTAATCATGTTCATTCTCTATCGTAATGTCGTAAAAATGAGTCCTGAACCTCGGGTCTGGAAAACTGCAGTCGCGACTGAAGCTTTAAGAGCTTCGGCTCCCAGGGCTCAAGCTTTCAGCTACAAAAGCTAACGTCTTCAACGTTTAAGTCATTGTTTATACTGAAGTTCTAACACCGTACAGTATGAATATAGCGACAGACAGTTGGATTCTTCGATCATAAAGACCTGAGCGTTGAAGATTCTGACTCAGTTTGAACTTCCAAGGATTCAAGGTTAAGTCCTACACCTTTGAAGATTCTCGAGTTTTACGGAGACTTAAGTTTCCAAGATTTGGCTTCTAGGGTTGAGTCTCGAAGCCCCTAGGACTCGAGAGTTTTACAACACTACTCTATTGTTATTTCTCACTTTGTCGTATTCTGTTTTATTTACGTTTCTCGTTATGCGACTTTAATTTACGCCAATAACGAAAATGTGTCAAAGCCGAGCATCGCGAGTGAACACTTCTCCTGGCACTTTTGGCTTGTAGGTACTGCTAGGAGATCACTTGATGGCTAGGCTGAGGACTTCGACTGATTGAGCAGTTTTCATTTGTTCTCACCTAAATTTGTGTCGGTTTCCCCTAATTTCTAATGTCTTTGATCACTAATTTACTATTCGTCAAGACGGTTACACGTTACCAATGACAACTATAAAACTGTAAACTAAAAAGACACCTCTTGCCCCTGTTCCGTTCCGCTAGACACCATGTGATATCCGAACTGCAGTCGGCAGAAACCTGAGATGCCTATCGTAGGTGTATTGTCCCATAAGAGCGGCCTTATTTCATAAATAATTGAAAATCTAAACAGTTTCACTCGACCCCTGAAAACGCGACGAACGATTGACTGGCGCGCGTGGACACGCTCCGCGATCCCGTGCATCGGCGGGACTGGGAATTAATCGTCTCGCGGGCTCCGATGGCTGCGAAGACAATGGCCGTGAGATAGAAACCGCGGTCCGCCACGATTCTGAATGCGACGCGGCCTTATTCTGCCGCGGAACCGTCGCGAACAGTACTTGCCGCATCCGGCAACACCTCATTGTTATCAGCCGCCCCTTTGTGGAAATGTCAGTCGAGCGAAGCGTCTAGGGAACGCGTCTCTCCTGTTGCGCGCTGCGTTCCGCGCCCCACGGGTGTCTTCTCTAGTGATCGATCGAGTTACCGTCGTCTGCGTAATAGGATTAATCGATCACGCGGCTAACTTTTCTGCGCTGATAATTACCGGTGATAATAACTTTGATGAATTTGGAGATGGTGGATGATCTTGCGGAATGATGACAGGATATAGGGATAGTGGGGGAAAAGTTGATTAATTAGGAAGAGAAGGAAGCTTCAGAGGTTGTATTGTTGAAATTGGAGATACTGTTACTTCTTGTTTGTTTGATTTTAATGTGAGATGGGTTTATTATTTTGAGAACAGTTGTGTCGAATGAGGAATGAGTTTAGAAAATTGTTCACGGAAGATTGATTACTTAGGGAGTGAAGAGGGATTCGAAGATTAGACTGTTGAAACTGGAGATTCTTCTGGTTTTTGTTCGTTTCATTTAATAAGGTTAGTTTCTTATTCCGAGAAAAATGTTTTGCGATGATGGTTGATTAGAGGGATTGTTGAAGAAAGATTAATTCATTGGAAATCCAAGAGAGCTTTCAGGGTGGCGATATTAAAACTGAAGGTAATCTGTCGATTTTGAAATTGTAAACTGTTTCGTCGATGAGTAGTTACCATATGTCAGTAAAATTCTGTGTTAAAGTTACTATAATTAAAAAAAATTCAGAATAATTTTGGGCGAAAAGTTTGCAGTTTTGGACTTGTTAAAAGTATTTTATTTTTTATATAACGTTCATTATGAAATGTAAGAGAATACTGTACAAAAATAAACAGACTGGAAGATGGAACGAAATTTTCGAACAAATAGATAATGCAAATAAAACTGCACCACTTTAAATATATTAATATTTTTACATTAACTTTCACATGAACCATAATTTTTATTGTTACTGAGCACTAAGGCTCAATTATACTAAAGAAAATAAATAAGAAATCGATAAAAGAAAATATGATTACAATGTAATCATTCGGAATAAGTAGAACTTGATCAAATTTGAAAATGATATACAATTTGAGTAAATTTAAATTTCTAATGAATAAAGTAATACTTATAATTTTGTTGGTCACTATTTCATAGAGAAGGATTTTAATAAAGTGAAATATGTCTTTAATCTTGTTTGAAATATGCGAAGAAACTTTTTAGTAATGCAGTTACTAAAACTAAAACACATAACTGTTTTTTATTGGGAAAATTCTGTAAAATCAGCTCTGCAAACGATATATTCTCAAGAAACTGCCCCTGTGGGACGTAGGTGGTATCCACGTACCTCCTAAAACGATCCACCTTATTTTTCTTGAGTCAATGGCTCTCCCTTACTACAAATTTTAATCAAGAGAAGAAATTTAAAATTCACTTCACGGAAGCAGTTAAATTTCTAAACAGCAAATTGAAAAAAAACATTGAATTGGATAGATTTGGTATTTTACGTCAGTTTTTTCCGATAAATACGGATTACTATGCACTGTATAAATTGTATAGAATATTACCTAGTTACCTTCATTATTTCTTACTGTTTTACTCTCCTGTTTTTTAAAAAATTTTTTTATCATTTTATTACTTTCGATGAGATAAAAGGAAGTCTAAAATAAAATGTGTAAGACTCGGGAAAGAAAGTTCTATAACTTCAAAAATATTCCAAATTAATTTTAAAGTATTATTGATCACATTTAAATTGAATTTTAGACGTCTCAGTGTAAGGATGAAGTGAGCTTTTGCTTGAAGGTAGTCATTGTCTATTTTTAAAGATTTTGATCTTCCTTTGAATCGAAACTGAATCTCTTTGCTTCAATCCATTAATCTAGAGAGTCTGTTCGAAGTAAACCAAACTGACATGAAAAGGTGAACACTCCATTTTATTTTCTACTTTGTAAGGGAATAATCAAACTGGAAGGTAGAATGAAAGAACCATTTTTCAGCCGTAACTATTGTAACATTGTTTCGGTTCTTCATGACTGTTCTGCTGATGACCTTAAATGAAATTATATAAAAGTTATTTTCTCAAATTTTTGGTATTAATGCTTACTAATTCTGTTTTAAATATAACTTAATTGAAATGTTACTTTTACTGTAGGATTTCTTTGTAGCTCAAATATTTCTTATATTTCTATATTATATCTTTTCAATTTCATTCCGGACGAAGCTACTTACAGAATTATTATTTTTTAAATTACTACACAAGAGTTTCTTGCATTCGACACCTATTATCAAAATACAAACGTGATGCTTCGTTTTAAAAACTAAGATTACATGACAATTTTAATAAAATCTTGAAAGTTTAATAATAATCCCATCCGAAAAGGGTTAAAACTACCTACAAATAATTAAATCTTCAAATAATCCACGAAGACACAAACTTTTATTTCGCTCATACTAAATACATACATCTAAAGGGTCACAAGGTTGTCTTATCACTTACTCAGCTGCAACAAAGTAAGGCAATAAACGTGGGAACAATAACAGTAATCAAATAATCCTCGATGTCACTACCCCAACCACTATTGAATCCTTTATAGTCTATTAGTTCAGACTATGATCTGAATTTAACTGTACCTATGTATATCCATCCGTCTATCTACACGTATGTACATACATGTTTTGTATGCACTTGTATGTACATGTACGAATGGTGGCAAGATACGATAATGAAATTACCATCTGCGAACGCAATAATTGTAGAACATCCCTTACGAAGTGATGTATAATTTACATCTCGGCAGGCGAGTTTTAGCGCGGAACCACGATTACCGTGGTTGAACCTTCGGAAACTTAGAGAAAGTTCGAGAATCTATTTTCTAACTAGCTGATCTGGGCTAAACTCGAATACTTCCCAAGTTGTCTGTTTTAAAACCTTCAACCGTTCGATTAACTGAGAAGGTGAATCGATCGTTGCCAGTGCAAACGGAAGCACCGTTGCCTCGACTTACCTATGGTGCTTCCGCAGTTTCTCGTGCTGAGAGTTTTCGGTTTCACCCCCGTCGGAAAGGGCCCGGGTCGCTTGACGGGGCGAGGCGGGAGGCGTGTGGGGCGAGTGCGCTGTTAAATTCGTCTGAGGACTTAATGGCGCACCTGTATTACCCGGCTGAATTCCCAGCATGCAGTATGGATCACTGAATCCTGCGGGAAGCATAGATCATTTCCTTCGTAATTTTCTTTTGAGCGAATAGAGATAACAGTAACTTTCGTGTAAATATAATCTTCTAAGTATTCATATATTTTTCTTTTTTTTTGCTGAGTATTGAATAATAATATATGATTGTATTGATTTATTAATGTAATTATTATTATTTGTTATATTGATATTCGTTATTGCATTCAAAATGTAAGTGTATGTTATTCGATCTTACCGAGAAAACAAAGTTTTGAAGTTTTACATCAAAACTGAAGGTTTCTAATCATTTTTTATTGTTTACAAAACTGACAATGTTTACTAATAGCTATTGTTTGCTGTTATCTGTTATTTCAAGTTAACAGATATTTCATGAATAAACTGTTTGACAAAGTCGTATTTCTCTAAACAAAATGTTGATATTGATTTATATACACATACATCACATGGTGTAATAAAATATTTTGAAACTAAATTGCTCGGCAAAATGTTTTTTCTCGACTTGTCTTCTTTATTTGTATAGTATCACACAGTGCAATATTAGTCAACATTGTAAATTATACAAAAATTATTAGCAAATTTTATCAGTACAATTATAATTTAGTAATCAAAATCAAATATTTCATAATGACGAATGTGGCCAGTTTAATATTATTGTTATTACCACTAGTTTGAAGGTCACTCTCAATATTCAATTTACTGAAAAGAGAACAACGATGGTTAACTTGTGATACTTTTTCGTTACAATTAATATTAAGCTCAATTGAATCATTTGTAAACGTGTTATACATTGAATGTGTAACAGGAGTATGAGTTTCAAAGCTATATGTATCAATGGTATCAAAGTACATTTCTGTTCTAACACTGCATACAGTACGATCAATACAAGGTTTATCAATCCTATTGTCCAATACAGTATTGTTTTCCATATTAACTGATTATATTCTTAGGTAAATATTACTATGTGCTCAATTCTTTTAATTATTGTAATATAATAGATTGATTAAGTATCTGCTACATTTATATAGTTCCCAAAATGAATAGTACAGTCAAGTTCTTGACATTTGCGTTAAATGGAGTTACTAAATAAATTTCGAAATACTTGTTATCACGTACACAATTAGTAGAAAACTTGTTAAATTACCGTTATATAACAAATTTATTAATGAAATAATGAATTTAGTTCCTAGGACAAATTGTATAATTTAATTCTTGAAATTGGGGTTGAATCGATTTACCGCCAGGACGGATTAAATAAATGCCACTACGATATTTAATTAATCCATTATTTTGTAATTTCGACGAAACACCATTATTTCGGGATTTCTGTGAAATATCAAAAAGTGAAACGACGTATGAAAGATATATCGATTTTCATCCGGTCGGCGTCAAAGTTTATGACATCGGCGGCTGAGGCAGGATTATGTTTGTAATCCAATAAAAAATTCATCTATGTATCTGTCAACCGGATAAACCTCGTATTGACATTCTTTGGAACTGAACTGAACAGTTGCTAGTGCAATAAATATAAACAGAATTCCTACCATTTGCGTCTTTCGCTTCCAATCCTTCGGCCTCGACCACCACCACGCTCAGAACGACTATTGGAGGCTAGAACAAATGTTGAACCAGTTCTAATATTTCTTAACAATTCAGTAAATTACAATGACAAAATATAGTACTTTCTTCTTCCTTTTGTCAGAAGTTATTATGATATTCTATTATAATCTTAAAGTTACAAGCTTACATTAACTTTTTAAAACTTTATTTGCATGAATTCCAATTAATAATTAATAAGTATAAGCAACTCTTATTAATTGTAGTTAATTGTAAAATTACAAAATCAGATTTTATTTACAACAGAATATTTAAAATTTATAAATTAATTTCAATTTCTATGTAAAAATTTATATTCGTTATTAATATTGGTGTTTTTATTATATTCGTTAACTGTTTCTCGTTGGTTATTATACATTCTCTATAAAATCCTTTTTCTATGGACTTTAAATTCAGGTATAAGATTAAACTAAATATAAATCATTAATTACATAGAATAATATGATTTTCTTGAACCACGCTTGGTCATGTTGTGTACATTCAGTCACTCATCATACAAATAATGTTCGACGGCCAGTTCCTAACTAGACAAACGGTACACTCCCTATTCATGATTACACAGGTGGACTGTAACTGTTCAGCCAAGTAGAATAGGATCGTACTTGGTCAGTCAAATGGTAACTGATAATGTAGTATAACACAGATCAGATAAATAGAATAATGTTAACAGTATCATGACATGTCAACATACAACTGTGACAGACAATGGAGTTTATCAAAGATAAGTAGAGACAAGATCAGTTATAATATCCTATATATTATAAATAAATGTTAGTTATAATATACTATATATTATAAATAAATGTTCGCTACGTTTAAAACAATAGTTATGAACCCTAATATTTCTGAAATTTAAACTATTGAATTTAAGGACTTAAACTACTACATTTAAACTATCAAAAATATTTAATTGTACTTAAATATTTCTAATATTTTTCTTGCTTGACTTGTCTTTGTTTTAAAACTGTCTCAAAATATTATCATACCGTTGGATAATCAATTACGTTGTGAAAATTAATTGCATATAGCCTTTTTATTTTTAAGATATTTTTCTTATAAAAACGTAACGAATAGATACCTTCTCTTCAGACGCAATATTCAGATAACGACGATGTTGATCTTGCGGTACTCTAAAAGCTTCCTGTGCGTATCTATAAAGATCCTCTTTGTAGTGGGCGTATTGTCCTGTACTGGCGCCCACAGTGTTGGCGATCGTGTAAAGGACTTCTATGTACAACTGTTCCAACTGAAACAAAAATTTAAATCTTTCTTTTAAACATAAATTTTGAGACGTTATTCGAAAGTATTATAAAATTGTTGTATTCATAATTTGACCAACCAATTACATCCTTAATAGTAAGTACCTAATATAAGAAACGAAGTTTGTAGAATCTTTTCTAATTCACAAAATTCAATTAGTCCTATTATGACAACTAACATTTGCTTATTGTAATATTATCTTCAATGGCCTTTTATTTATTAACACTAAAACTACTAAAGATTTGATACACTTCATGCATATTCCTTATAAAAATAGTAAGAGTAGATTTAATTCGGGTTCTTTGGTTAATCTTTATAATATTCAAGTGACATCAATTATTTTTAGAAATGTTTCAGATATTTAATACCTTCAAGATATCAATAATTGAGAGATAAGAAAACGCAAATGGGTCATCTTAACTGGTTTTATTGTTCTAGTGTTAAAAGAGGGATTTGGTTTTAATATTAAAATATGGGTTTAATATTAAATAGTCTTTAAGTTATTAAATACTTAATTAATCTGTTATTCTGCTAAATGTTCGGACTTTCTAGAACTTATTTCGAAATATGTCGGTTCTATTATATATCTCTTTATTTAAACAGATCTTTAGAACCTTTAAAAATAGAAAAAAACGAATACATAGTTTAGTTTTTAAAATCTTTTGTTTTGAATGAAAAATCGATATCCCGTTAATTACATTTTTTATTATAGATACATGGATGTTCATGTATTTCTCGTTAAAATTCCTTTTTTCCTCCACTGATATTTTTGTTCAGAAATAACAATAATGAAAGAGAAGTGATGCAGAAAAAGTGAACTGGCTCTGCCAGAAATAAGATAAAGTTAATGTCGGTCAACCAGGTAGACACAAGGAGATACGAACATCGTTCAGAGTTCGTACGAGTTTCAAACATCCAATCGTTGGCAGATTGTACTGTTGAAAATTGAGCTTTTAACAGTATCGTGCTCGGTTTTATTTCCTTTATTTACCGGTTAAACTAACAAATTGCATCTTCTACTACAAAGGAATATAATGAAATATATTAATATCGTAGAAATTGTTTACAATATAAAACACATAGCCTATTCAATAATTTTCTTCGAATGTATCCATGTATCACCAAACAATTGAAAAATACTAAGAAAAATGAGAATAAAATATTACAGTCAAAATAAGAAGATATTGTTTCCAATTACAATCTCCACAATTTTCTATTATATTAGAAATAATTATCTATTCATATTAAAAATAGTTATAATAAACAAATTTCCTAAATTTCCTGAGTAATTCACACAAAATAATTATTTACACCTATTAACTTACAAAGTTTATAGGTAATCATGTTAAGGAGAAGCATAAATTCGCAGCAAAATAATTTCCATAGACCAAGCACGTCTAAATAAGTAAAATATACAGGGCACATAATACGTAAATAAAACGAGAGAAGAGAGAGGATGTGAATAGGAAATAACGAAGTCCTTGATTTTCTAAAAACGTGTACCTCCCTTGAACGTGTACATTGTTCCCGCCGTTGGAGACAGTCGAATTGTGCCAAATAGAGATAATTGAACTGTTCCCGACTGTCGAAGCCACCCTTTTCCCCGATCCTTTTCTTCGCATAATTCCCTTCGTTCTTTTTACCAGCGGTATCGTTTGTTCGGCAAGTCGCATGGGAAAACGTAACGTGATTCGTGTTGGAATAATGAGAGAGTCGCCGTTGCATTTTCGCTTCGTTAATAAACAGAAAAAGAAGAATACCAGTTGTCCCTCCGGGAAATGAATCGAGACTCAAGGTACATGATTTTCAGGTCAATTGTGCGCGGCTTCGTTGTATCGCTTAACAAGATGGAAATGAACTGATTTCTCTGACATTACAAAGTATTTTTCGACTTGTTGTTAGTCTAACCGAATTTTAATGCGTCCAAATTATTCTAATAACTATGAATATTAAAGATAGTACCATGAAACGGTACTCATATTACGGTGATAAGTAAATTGTAGATTTCATGCGCACACAGCGTTTATGATTATTTGAAACTCAGTATAATAAAATTTTTAATAATGTTTAATGAGAATTCTTTGAAACACAGCAGAATCCATAATGTAATTGAGAGCTCTTCCTTTAAATCCAATTTTTATGAACTAATCCGTACCAATTTTTATTTACATAGAGATTTACGTTTTAATTAGGTTTAATTAGAAACGTAGAAAATAATATTTTTCAGATTACCCTGAATAGTGAGATCCTCGAATAAAAATTGTTTAAATTTCATACGAGGTTAATATACTTGTGAAAGGTTATTAATACTTAAATACCATTCTCACAATTTTTAATTTGTTTTCATTAAATCATATGCAAAACTCATGTTATTTGTATTCCGATAATACAAAATTAATTTGAGCAGGGAATTATACTTAAAAATGAGAAAATTAGTGTTTCTACGTGTATTCATATTTTACGCACACTTATTAGACGTAATATTAAAAAGAAACAAGTTGCATTACTTAGACCGTACAGTAATAGAAACGAATTCGAATATTCTGATCCATATTAAGCGAGTAACCAGATACATGGGTCTAAATTGGGTGGTTATCCGAGAAATCTGATACTTGAGATTAGGATATCCGAAAATCTGAGCAGCGGTGAGAGCCCTAGTTCCCTGATTGGTGAATCAATCAGTGTAAAGCCTGTCTTTAGCCTGAATAGCTTAATAACTTTCGGATTCCGGACAAGTAAAAAAAGCTCTGCGTTCCTTACAAAATAACATACCGATTCCTGGTCATACGAATTAATTGAATTTCTGATGTATTCGATTGAACAAATTCTATTCCAGGTCGATGGTATACCGTCGAACAGTTCAGACGTGTTATTGTATCGCTCGCGCGAGCCGATTATAGTCTAGGAATATAACAAGTTTAATTGTTATTGATGTACTCGTGTCATAGTCCTTATTCAACCGAAAACTGTTCAAAACTATTACGCGTGACCGTGACTGTAGAACTGGTTACTATTCGCCTCTCACGTTAGTTCCATCCTTAGACTTAAAAGTGCAAGGAGAGACGTCCATTTGCCGCACTCAGCCTTATAGTTATGGCGGCTCAGTTTCGGTACATCCTTGTTATTGGCTGAGCCGTCTGCTGAGGTGGAGCGTACGGTTGATTCCTGTTGCCTCTGTGCATTTTTAAGCATAAGGCTGATAGAACTAACGGGAGAGTCGAATAGTATCTCAGCTTTCCTCACGGTTGCCATGGTCTCGGGCTTATATGGGAAATTTTCTTGCTAAGGAGGAGTGCGATTGGATTTTTTCCGACTGGCGGAAGTCTCGAAAAAAGGCCTCCACCAATCAGGTAATTTTACAACTACCCACTACTTAGTCGTTGTCTAAAACGCTTTTCTCAATTATTAGGAAATATAGCATATTTCTCAGAATACAAAGTGCGTAATAAGAAATTATTATTATTTACTGTCTATCATAACTATTTACTATTATTAATAGTGATTTTAAAATGAAAATGAATGAAATTAGTCAGAACCTAAAATAGTAAAATAATTATGCAACAAGTTCAAAGAATTTCAATTCCAATTCCTAGCTTTCCCATTTATTCTTAGAGATCATGAAACAGTTAGTTCTCAATGTCCGCGAATGCCCGAACGTTGAACTGGCAGAACCATTAAGACAATGTCTTTCATTTCGATTGAAACGTACTGCCGACCTAACTGACCTGCACGCATAATATTTCAACAGTCAAACACAACCACTAAGCCGCATGCAATCTGCGATGGAATAACGTATGTGTCTTGCTGAATGATAAAATGTGGTGTTGCATGAACCGAGTAATATGCTCGCAAGAAATTTAACGCTGATACTAATGAACGTTCTCGGTGCTGGATATAATGAACATGGTAGAACCACACTACCAAGTAGAAGTTATAAATGGTGACGAAAATTCTTTTATGTATCTTCAAAAGGGTCAAACGAAATTTGTTAGCGTAATGATAATTCGAAAGTAATGTGGCGGATGGAGTTAATAAATATGTTCTAAGTATGTCACACCTAAACACATTTGTCGGCCGTGTACTTTATTTAATCAATGTAACCTAAAATTATCTAATAAGGGACGTTAGTCAATTTGAATGAACAGATTTTAATGAAACTTGGAAATGTAGGGCAACGAAAAATATTCGAAACGTATCTCTGTATAACTGATTATATTCCAGCATTGAGTAAAAATAGTTCTCAAAGTTGAAGATGAAAGTGATTAATAATAAGTTTGATACAAAAATTGTTGATACAATTAAGTTTGTTTGAATGATATTCATTTTTTTACTTATAAGTAATTTTAAAATTTCGGGAAAAAATATTAACGAAAAAAAGAATTGTTACAGTTACACAAAGTAACTTAGTTATAATAATGAGTAATAATTACTTAAAGTGTCCATTGAAGTAACGCATTATGAAACGTTTCTAAGTGAAAAATAAGCGTAATCAAATAGATTTTATAATTGAAATATAAAATTGCTTTTATTTATACGTTATTCAAAAAATACTATTCCATGCATAAAATTGTCATATTTAATTATTATAATATAATAAAAGCTCATAAATTACAATTGAAGAAAGTATAAAGACAAAAATATAAAATAAGGATTGTAAACATATATGTAACCATTTGAAGAAACTAAAACCATTAAATTGATTGTACATATTTACTTTAAGTAATGTAAGTTAAATGCTCTTGAGTTTGAGCTACAAAATGTAGGACTATTTTCAGGGGTGAATTTAAAATTAAAATAAAAATCTATTGTCTAGAACACACGTGCAATTCCCTGTGTTTGAAACAACTGAACCAACTTAAAGTCTCAACTTACTTTAAATGATTGTGGATGGTAACAAACTTTTGCATTTAGTAGGGCAAACGCACAGTGTGTCGTGCAAGCAGTGAAAACCGGAAACTTACACTCTCTACATTTCGCGGAACCAACTTTTAAAATCACCAAACCGTAAATGCAGTGCGGTCTAAACATGAGCTACAATTACGCTTTTCATACATTACGCCGTGAACGTTGCATTCGATTTTTTAATCCACCTTTCCATTAAGAGATTATTCGCGTTTGCAATCTGCAGTCCTTGCACTATCCCATTGAAATTCGAAAATAACGTATTTACATCATGTACTTCACTATCTTCTTTCGAGTAGTATTGTAAGTAAATATTAAAGGTTTTCATTGAATTGTTATAAATATCGTTATATATTTAAAATTATTTTTGTGTAAATAGTATTTTTGAAATATTAACAGAATTATTCATTCTTTCTACCAGTACTTACTTATTTACATTCAGATTATATTTTTATTTTTTAGGGGTTAACTTCTAAATAAAATTTCGTATGAGTTTTATATTAATCTTCTGTTAGAAAAATAATGTGATCTGTTTAAATTCTTCCTCCATCGCTAGTTATCTTGCGTATTTCAATATCTTTATAAGGAAAATAAATAGTTATTTAATATAAAACGGGAAAAATTTGTTCTCAGAAATCTGATGTTAAATAAATAATTAGTAAAATAATAAATAATTTCGCATACCTCTTTTTTGGTGAAACGATACTGCGAAGTATTCAAACTGCTGTCTCTGGACGGTGGAGGAGGTTCCTTCGATCTGACCTCAGACTCTTGAAGAACTACAAGCCTCCGATTTTGTTGTTTCCAAGATAACGCGGTGAAACTTTCGAAGAAGGATCCATCGGTTTCTTGTACTCTGAAAAGTCAATTACACTTTGTTCTTTTTACTTGTATCAGGTTCACTACGTAACAAAATATGTACACTTCTGTTCAGAAATATGTATTTATTCACTTATATCATCCATACTTATTAAAAAAAACTAAAAACTTTCTGATAAATGAGATATTCTTACATCTCTTCTTTACATGTATTAATTTGAACTATACACTGTTTTCAGCATTCTTTCTCACGTTGTTTAACCAATTAACTGAAACTATTCAGGAAGGAGACTGCATTTTATTGTATTTAATTTAGTTTTTCCTAATTTGTCTATCAAAATGTACAGTCATATGAAGTGTCTACAATTTGATTATAGATATAAGTGTTAGTTCTTTTATAAAATAAATTTCCAATCGTCAAATGTATACAGGAATTGATAGTAGATTTGCAAAAACTGTGGAAAATATAAGAATCCAATTGGAAATAGTGTTCTAAGGATGTTGTGTAAAAATATTATGCAACGGAGACATGGTGGCTGTTCGCTAATTGCTAAAGCTTACTGTCGTTGGGTCAGTTTCAAACTATTAGGAATTGGTTCATTCTTTACTCGGACAAGTGGAACGAGTGTGCTCTCATTCCGAAGCTCTAGTGGAACAGAACTTGTAGATCAGACGGTTCATTACTGCACGAGTAAATACATGACACGAGATGTGGTCTACGATATAATCGGAACAAAACATATTTCATGATGCCAACAAAATTAATGGAGTGTTTGGCTTGATAAATGGAATGAATTTTTATTTACAATTTTCATGCTTTTATAGACTCTAATATATGTCCAAGAGAAATTTTGAAACAACTAAGGCTTGTTGGTAATTAAAAGTTAGTTATCTTATATTACAACTTAAAAATATACTAATTATAATTAATTACCTAAATAAGCTATAAAGTAATACATTTATAATTACATATTATTTCAAGCAATAAACAGCAAATAGTGTATTTTATTTAATATCCTGCATGTAACTTCGAAAGAAAAATACTTTATTAGTTCACAGTTGAATACTAATACGAAGAATACAAAATCATACTGGATCTATAGTAAATTGTTAGTAATATCTAACAAATAACGTGATTAAAGAACTAACGTGTAATCTTGATTGATTATACAAATGTAACAATGACAATAATTAACAATTTAACTGATTTAAAGTCAGTTTGTCACTTCAAAGAATGAAATTAGGTCAATACCAGCTCGACCAAAGCGAAAATCTTGGCAAAGAAATTAAATTATAGCCAGTCTAAAATAATTATCGGCCAATGTGCATGGCGAACCGCGCTCCTAATTATGTCTCACACGTGTTTGCCGTGCATTTTTTCCTCATATTCGTGTGCAAACCGTGTTTCGCAACGTTGCAGTAATATCGATCAGCTGCGGAGTTTTCTGTTTTTTCCTTTCTTTTCGCCAGTTTATAATTAATACACTGCGCGCTACATACGAGAACGGCGTAATAAACCCCGACACGTTCGGCTGCATTCCGAATATTCTCCTTCAGAAGGCCTTTGCTATTTAACTGGAGCTCTTCACTGAAAACCGAGTCCGTTGAGTTTTCTCCACACAAACGTACGAACATGTTCCTCAGAAAGTTTGTACGCACATTGGATTAATAAATTATTGAAACTTCTCGAGGTATTTTCCATGTTTGGATAATTAAACGTTAATAAATTTATCGCTTCATATTATAAAGATATGATGTTTTAAATACATCATTTTCACTTCTAGTTTACTATTATATACATATTGACATTAGTAATTTAAAGAACATTTTATTAAGGTATTGTTCATTTATAAGTTGAAGTAAAAATGATAAAACTTCAAGTTTTTTAAGTAAAATTAATGATAATTCAATAAAATATTGTAATAAGTTTACTATATTTTGAATGTAATATTTACTGGTTTGAAGGGGGAATTCAGTTGTAGACAAATACAAAGATATAAATGCTATTTATTAGAAAGTAGTATAGTATCTAGAATATTTATTGTAGAATGAATGGTTTGTTGTGCGTGCGTAAGGGCGACCAGGTCGTATTGCGACGGACCGGCGCCGGGATGTTTGGAAAATAGTGTGACTGCGTTTAGACAATTTCGAGCGGCTGAAAGAATGCGAGGAAGAGTGTCTGGAACTGAGCGACTGAACCGTGAGAAAAGTGTGTACGTAACTGCGTGAATTTTGACTATGGACGAAAGATGCGAGTGAGAAGGGTGCAAGGGTGAGAAAGACAGAGCGAATGGGAGTGTGTGTTAAAAGCGAGTGGAAATGCGTGCATGAGGACATTTTGGTGAGCGACAGCGGAGAAGAACATTTTTGGTGCGAGAGTCGTGTGTTGTATTTTTTACGTGTTGTCCGTATTGTTTTCTTTATCTTATTAAATATATATTGTTTTCCTAATTCTCTTTTTACTGAAGATCCACATTTTCAATATCATCTAATAGTAAACCACCACTATAGTAGTATTTAAATATATAAGACAATACACCTCCTAAGGGATTTGCCAAATGATGTAATTAAAGTAATATAAAAAATAACTTAAGTTTATAGTAAACACATAGCTATATAAAACTTTCTTTTTGTAATGAAACTATTCAATGAAAAAAATATTTTTGGAACAAGCTTACATTAAGCTGCTTGAATAATTTAATAATTATTTATTAATAATTATCATTAAATATTCATTGATATGAATAAATAATCGAATAACATAACATAAAATTACTCCTTCTAAAAATATTCCTAATTCAAAAGAACGTGTACGTTCTCCACATAAATTACGTTCCTACAAAGCCTTCACACTCCAACAGTATTTCTACTGGTGCATTATACAAAGCTCAATATTAGATATTAAATTTTATAATTTTATAAATTAAATCAAGTGCCCACTGAGAAAGGTTTCTCTAGAATGCAAAAAGTTAACACGTTCCAATATAAATTTCAGTTATATTTTTCTTATAAAGCGTACTGATCCTTTAAATAAAATATTACGTTATACCTAAGTAGTTATCTGGTTACTTTAATACATTTTGATATAATTTCTTCATATTTCCGCTATTTTGTAACGTGTATCACTATCCGTGACCACATGTTTCATAAAAATATTTTCATACAATTAATAATTAACAAACAATTAGCACGCGACACGGAACGTGGTTAAATATAATTTCTTTCAGTTCTTTTAATTTCTCGCGCAAATGACGACAAACTGCACTAATGTCGCGTTTCGCATCGTCCTCAAACACCCCAACACTTTAAAACTGTCATACCCCAGTGGCAATCTTCCATGTCATACGGTGCACATCTGGTTCTAAGAACCCTCCGATGAAGCTTATATAAAGAGTAGAGCACCTCGAATAAAGACACTCAGTAATTCAATCAAAGTCTTGTGTCGAAATTCTCTCCGTGCGTTCCTCGAAGTCGACTAAAGTAGAAATCCATAACGAAACTCTGAACGTCTGTTTCTTTCACGAAACTCTAAGCTTAACACGAAAACTTTGATATTCTATGTTCGAATGACATCGTATTTTTTTTATTAAATCCTTGAAGTAAGTTCTCGTCGTGACAGACACGAGACGAAACGAGAGCTTTCGTTCCACGTCACGGTGAATCCGTCGCAACAGAGAATAACCTCTAAACCATCGTTTCCCGAGATTCTGGTTCGCGAGAGATAATATAAATTTAGATTATGAAAATTTCTTTCACCTCGTAACATCCGCATTTCCATTCCGTTCGCCGTAAGCGTCTTTGCAACGTCATCTACCCGTGTTTACGTGCTTGCACCGAAAGTGTCGAGTTATTTTCTTCTCCTCGAACGTACGAGGTAATGCTGAACGCAATAATCTGCGGCGTCTAGTTCTCCGGTGAGTGAAAAGATAGAAAGAACGGCCCAAATACTCGCGAGAAAATTGCAAAATGAAAAATATGCAGTTCAAAGTCGACTGAAAGACTGTTTTCGACGCGTTTGAAAGATTCTTGTTCATCAAACACAGTGGCGTGCGAGTATTAGATTTACTTTTGTCATTTAATTGTCAAGAAGGTAAAAGTATCAGTAATTTACCTGGTATCAGTAGTTGACCATTTTTCAGAAAAATATAATATATAAGGTTTTTAATAGTAACGATCTTTCGATAACGGCGCGGTAGATATGCTGCAACCTCTATCGACCCAACTCCGAAACACTTTTACCTGAATTAAATTTTTTATCATAAAAACTAACAATTTATTTCATTGAAGTTGATTGTACGTCTCTAATTTCGAATATACCACTTATAATTTGTTATAATCGTTACAATTAAATGATATTAAAGTAATCGTCTTTAGTGTTTTTGATTTTACTATAAGTGGTCACCTGCTAACTATCATATGATTAACTACTAATTCCCTCGTTTAAAGGATGATCAACTCGTGGCGCAAGTATTGAATTTTCAAAAGTATGTATAATATTTGGATAATGTGACTATTTTAAAAAAGTCCGCTTTGTTACGTAGTATAAAAAGTTCAGATAGCATTTTCATGCTTGGGGTCTCTTTATTTAATAAAGGAGCTAACGTTTACTATTGTTCACGCAGAACAGTTTTCTTAACTAGTCAAATATTGGTGTTTTTACTTTAATTATTTCGAAAAAGGTACTCATATATAATTTTGACCATTCTTTTATGCGTCATGCACGTCACAATTAGTAGTACAGTAAAAATGTTAAAGTTGTCAATTATGAAAAAAGTTATCTGTAAATAATTGTTTCTTAGTAAGATAATAATCAATCAATTAAGTCGACTTAAGTGTTCGAATGTTTTGAGCTGAATGAAATCGACGAATTGTTTGATTAAACAAGAGATTTAAAAAACTCAAATGACATAAATATTTGGGTTTACACAAGACTTAGAGATTTTGCAGTTTGAAGAATTTCGATATACTTGAATATACACATATTCAAACAAAACAATTATTATTAGCGCATTATTCTTAATGTGTTATCAATATATT